ATGTCGTACGAGCCAAGCACCAACGCACGTCTTATAGAGATCCGCGACGTGGAGAAACTGAAGGATGCCAGCACATATCCCCTATGGAAGTTCCAAATGAAGATTGCATTCCGAGCAGTGGGAATTCTTGATGTAGTGGACGGAAGTATACCAAAGCCTCGTCTGAAGGAAGACTTATCCAACGCGAAAGATGTTCAAAACTGGAAAAGGTCTGATGCAACAGCTCAACGGGTCATAACAAACACAATGGACAAAACCATTCTGGTACACTTGATGAACTGCCAAACAGCAAAGGAGATGTGGAACATTATAAAGGAGTTATACGAGAGGGACACCGAGGAACAGCGTTGTGTCCTCCTCGAGGAATTTTTCAACTACAAATATATACAAGGTGCAGACATTATGACTCATATCAGTAATATAGAGAACCTTTATACCAGACTAAATGCGATTCAAGCTAAACTTTCAGAAGACATGTTAAAAACAAAGATTCTATCCACATTGCCGCCCAATTACAGTTTTTTTCAGTCCGCGTGGGATGCAACTCCCAGCGACAAACGCACATTATCCCTGCTAAAATCCCGATTACTTTCGGAAGAGAACAGGAAGCAAGAGAACAAGTCCGAAGGGGTTGCATTCAGCGCTGCAGAAAAACGCTGTTATGTTTGCAATGCGGATCATTTATTACGTTTTTGTCCAAATAAAGGGGGACGCTCAAACGAGAAATCGCAAAACAATGGTAAATTTTGTAATTATTGCAAGAAACGTAATCATGATATTTCGGTCTGTAAAGAGCTAAAGAGAAAGAATCAGGAGCAAGGGGGTGACAAAAAAGGAAAATGGTGCTCTCTTTACAAAATGAGCAATCGTACAGATAGCCAATGCTTTAAACAAAAGAAAAACGGTGACAAAGAGTCCAAGCAAGGGGTTGCATTTATGGGATACGATGAGAATTTGACGCAAGAAAATGTTGGACAGTGGATTCTTGACAGTGGCGCTAGCTCCCACATGTGTGCAAACAAAGAATATTTCTCTGAAATGTCAGAATGTAACGTTAAAATTGTCGCAGCTAAACAAGATGGTAGAGAACACTCATAATGCCAAAGTTTCTATGCTAAGGTGCGACAATGGGGGTGAGTATGATAACACTGCTATGAAGCAATGGTGTAAAATGAAAGGTATAAGATTAGATTTCACTCCCCCGTACACTCCTCAACTAAATCCAGTAAGTGAGGGATACAACAAGACTGTTTGGGAAAAGATAAGAGCCCTCATGTACGAAAGTGGTTTAGATAAGAAATTCTGGGGATTAGCTGCGCAGTGCACATGCTACATTTTAAATCGCTGTCCTAAAAGCGGGATGAAAATAACCCCGTATGAAGCATGGACGAATAGAGTGCCAGACTTAAGTAACTTGCAAATTTTTGGTTCTCAAGCATACGCCAAGAATCTGCACTATCTAAAAAAACTAGACGAGCGAGCTCAAGAATACATTTTTGTGGGATATGCGCCAAATGCGTATAGACTTTGGTGTGAGGAAAGCGAGAAAATCATAGTGAGCCGTGACGTAGTTTTCACAAACAGACTTAAGCATAAGCAAAACTCTGATGGGACGAAGAGTGTAAAAATCCCAATATTTGTATCGGATGATGATGAAAGTAAGACAATAGCTGAGGACGAGGGGGGAGAAGTAAATGAAGACACCAGCAGGAGTGAAGAAAATGAGGATGAAGAAAATGAGAGTGAAGAAAATGAAGAGGAAAGCAAAACAGTCACGCGCGCAGGGCGCGAAATAAATCCTCCTGACTGGTATGGTAACCCGATCCCCAGCGATTGTCTCGACTTGACATAAAAAAGTGCGAAGCTTACTTACGCTCAAGTGGTAAAAGGGCCAGATTCCAAGGAATGGCTCAAAGCCATAAATGAAGAGAAAAATAGTTTAAAAGAGAATGAAACTTGGAAACTGGTGCCACGTCGTCAAGCCTCAGGCAAAGGTATTTTAAACAGTACCTGGATTTTGAAAGAAAAAGAAGACGGCCGTAAAAAGGCAAGATTGGTCATAAGAGGTGATCAACAAATTCCAGGAATTGATTTTGAGGAGACATATAGTCCAGTGGTAAGCAACAACGCACTTTGCATTATTCTAGCTCTTGCTGGCGATAAGGCTTATAATATTATGACTTTCGATGTTAAAACAGCGTTTTTGTACGGTCAACTTGACGAAGAAAATACATGTTCTTACCCGAGGGATATGAGAAAAATAACGAATTTATATGTAAATTGCAAAAGTCTCTGTATGGGTTACGTCAAGCTTAGCGTCAATGGAACATGAAATTTGTTAATACTCTAAAAGGTTTAGGCTTCACAGAAATAATTTGCGAACGCTGTGTGTTTGTTCATAAAAGTCATGGCATAATATTAGCAATACATGTTGATGATGGCTTCTTAGCTTATGGAGATGAGAGGAAGGCGAAAGCCATAATGACAAGCCTTGAAAAAGAATTCAAAATGACGGCCAACTATGACCCAAAGAGTTTCTTAGGAGTAGAAATAGTTAAGAATAGCATAGGTTTGTCGATAAGTCAAAATGATTATGCCTCCCAAATTTTGCAAACATTTAACATGCAGGATTCTGAACCAGTTTCAACACCTGCAGTAAAGACAAATAGAACAGAGATAGAGAAGAAAACTGCTGAGGAAGTCAACTTTCCTTACCGTCAAGCGGTGGGTAATTTGCTATATTTGTCAGCAAAAACCAGACCTGATATTGCTTATGCAGTTAATTAGGTGAGCAGATTCATGGAAAATCCGACGAAGTTGGATGTGACAAATGTGAAACGTATCTTTCGTTATATACGAGGAAACAATGTTGCCTCAATTATGTATAAGAATGGTAATGACGAGGAGCTGCATGCTTATTGTGACTCTGATTTCGCTGAGGATGAGATTGACAGAAAAAGTATAAGTGGCTATGTCATAATGTACAAGGGAGGTCCTATAGCTTGGGCAACTACAAAACAATGTCGAGGTTGTTTTGAAAATACCGAGTGAAAAGTGGAGCACGGATCAAGATTATGAAATTTATTGTTGAATTACATTCTTATTGGAGATGGCTTGGCATGCTTTGCTACATTGCTGTTTAGTATGTCGAGGTTGTTCGTTCATCGAAAATTGCTGACTCGTCCAAAAGAGTAGATTTTCAGCCATTGGTTAACAATTTGACTACTTTGGCAGTATGGATTTTATTTAAAGAATTCAAAATTGGATGTAGGTCTCAAAATACCTCTGAATTAGGCTCTTAGACTAAAAATGTTGCAGAGGTTGTCAGATCTTGCAAAAGTTGCTGAGCATATGCTTTTCAACCCAATTCAGCAACTTTTCCGTTAAAATTTTTCGATGCCAATTTAATTTGGCGTCAAAGAGTACAAAAAATTATCCTTTGATCAACAGCCCCACATTTCTGAAGATGTCAAGTCCAATCAGGATTAATTGATCCAGGCACATCGACTGAAGGGGAGAGTGGGGTTATTTGGGTCGTGGGGTTCAATGAGTCATGTGGGACATTTTCCCGGGATTTTTCGGTTTTGCCGGCGTAGGTAGTTGGCAATACTTGTATTCTACCAAAAAAAATGTGCAGTGACGTCATCGGCATTTTTTGTTTATGTTTTCGAGTCGCATCAGCTGCGGAGCCATCAAATTCGGCCTAACACGGCAATTTTTCATTCGAAAAGTTTGTGCTCATTGTTAAGTACTCAGTACTCACGTTGGATTGATGCTGTGAATTGTTCTGGAAAGTAGACTTGTTTCCCTACACTTTGGCCTTTGGAAACGTAGAAAAAAATAATTTTGAAATTTCCTCAGCATGATTTGAAAATTCTAACCTGCTTGGGGGCTAAATGAGTCATTTGGANGGGGGGGGGGGGGGGGGGGGGGTAAATGAGCCACTCACCAAGTTAAGATTTTAACTGATTTTCTGAATTTCATTTGTTGTCTGCAGAGATCATGACCAGAAAATTTATCAGAAAAAAGGAGGTTCCGAGAATTCCTAGAAGAATTCGGTTTCAAGCCATAAAATTGCATTATTTTGGTGGACATGAAATGCAGGGTTGAAAAAAAAAAATTTTCTAGAAAATATTCAAAACTTTCCAAACTTCTTATTTAAGCCTCTATAAGAAATTTCATAATTTTTGCCATAATAGTGGATTCTTATCTCCTTGCTATTCTGAATTTCTAAATATTCTTAAAGTTACCTTTCTTTCAACACTCCTCTCATACCAACCAAAAAGTTATCATTAATCATTTTATCTATTTATTCATCCATTCACTTATTTACAGGTGACCTCATTCATTAAGCAAATTGGTATCTACCAAAAAAGAAAAAAATAAATTGATCATCGAGTCATTGCAAACCATACATTGAAGGATAAAAAGAGGAAACCCAACCTCCACCCCCCCCCCTCAACATTTCTTATTCATTTACTTTTTTATAGTGCAGCATTGAAACATTTAAAGATATATCTCATACGGGTTTGACAAATATCTATTTAAAGTTGATTAAAATGTGTCCATGACGATTTGATTAACCCCAAGGATGGCTCATTAAACCTCATGGTCAGGGTTAAGTGAGCCAAAAAGGTTACCCTGCTCAAATGCAGATTTTGACTTTACTTTATGAACAAAAAATTTATCCCGGCATAAATTATGGCTAAGAGTACACTTGATTGTATTAAATCATGAAATTAGACACAAAAAAAAAAATTAAATAAGATTTAGGGGTGTTTTCCTAAAACTGGCTCAAAAAATCCCACTCTCTCCTAAGCCTTTCTTTCATATTTTTCGAGAATGCTGATTTTAAATTACTTCCTTCATAATTTTCAGTGTAGCATTGAAATTTGTGGTTTTTTTCACACATTTCTCTCCTAAAAGATGTCAAATCATGTATAAACTACTGAACATGACCATTAGAAGATCAAACAATCAAAACGAAATCAATCAAATTATTTCACTGAATTTTGCAATCTTTGGATGTTATACAATATTTTTCTATTTCAGGTTTTTCTTCCGCGTAAACAGCAACATTTACATTCAAACTATTCGGGAGAAATACATTTTAAAACTGTTGTAAAAATGGGAAATTCACCTCCTTGCCCCCTCCTCCCAATTATCCGAGATGGTTGAAGTTTTGCCTAGGCATTAGGAACACTAAATACAACATTAGAGCAAAGTTTGGTCCAAAACTAGAGGGGGGGGGGAGGATGCTGGGGCAAAATCGTCAATATTAGAGCAATATCTTCAACGTTAAGTTAATTGGTTGAGACTAGATTAAGATTTTTTGAGGAATAAAATAAGGTCATAGTATAAAAGTGTAAATTCTGACAATTGGAGGGTCACAACTGAGTTATTCCATAAAGAAAAGGAACAAACTTTAGAACATGTAAGAGAGAAATATTTGACCATCAGTCATCGACAAGTAGGAATAAGTTTGATTAAATAAATATTGTACACATTAAATTACACGTCCTATGAGGAGCATAACAATGGGCTAAATCAAGCACATATCAATGGGCACCGAAAAGAAGGATGCTTATACAATTAGGCTTTTAACAAATCAAGAAAGCAAAAGTTCAACAATGAAATCAATTCTAGGGCTAATACTATAAATTTAATGAACATGTAGAATTGGTGTAGAGTCATTAGTTACATCGATTTCATAACAATAAATACACATTATGGGCTAAAACTAGGTAATTGACAAGTAAAAAATAGGGAACAAATAAAGAATGACATTTTAATCAGCAAAATGAATGGTTTCAGTGCAATCGGAAACAATTAACAAGTAAACATAACAGGAAAAGTTGGAAAGATGGGAGACTGGAAAAGGAAAATATTGCATTTTAATCAAAATTTACTTCTTTGTTGAAATTTTTCTTGTTCAGATTCACAGATTTGGACGATGAAAAACATAATTTCAACGTGAACGGGAAATTGGAATCTGAAAGAAAAAGAAAACCGCCCAAAAATAAATATTGAATTAGCGGAAAACGACGACAAGCCTGGCAAAAAATAAAAGCAAAATTAAAGTTTACAGACAAATGAGGGATGGATATTAAAATTAACCAATGAAAAGAAAAATCTTTAAATCGACAAAAGAGAAAAGAGCGGCATTCCGAGCTGTTAATTTTGAGAAGGGAGGGGGGGGGGCTTCGCTCCGGGACGCGTTTTTAGAGTTGTCAGCAAAGTTTAGTCGTTGTTTTAGGGGGACCCGCACATCCACCGCAGGAAGAGTGTATTTACCGAAAATTACCCAAGTGTCGACTAAGCTGTAGTTTTAGTATGGCAAAGTTAATGGTAAACAGTTTGTAAAAAGAATCCGGATTTGAAAACTGACTGTCCATGAAGTTTCTTTCCGTGACCCACCATGCAACAGGACACATGAAGCCGTATCCAAAAAAACGACGTATGTCGACATCTGCCCTTTTTTTTTAGGGAGCAGGGCTTTTTTGAATGTATGGATCCTCAGAAGCATGTGCACAAAGAGATATATATCCAACTCCCATAAGAATTGGATCCAGAACGAAATCTTATCATACCTTCACGTTTTGTAGAGGAAAGTTAGAGAAGCTCAAAAATGGCTGAGTATTCGATCCAGCCCCCTGGAGGGAGGAAGAGCGGGGGGTCAGAGAAAAATCAACTTTTGGGCATAACTTTTGAACGGTTGCAGATGTCGAGTAGATGAGAGAGCATAAAAAACCTTCCTATCCAGAAAAAGAAATTGACAATCCGTTAATTTTTTACCGAGTTATGGCTCATTTAATTTTTTGAGAATTTTAATTTTGGATTTTTTAATTTTAATTGTGATGGGTCGCACGAAGTGTCATGAATATGTGTGCAAAAGATAGCTAGCTCTCGTTTTCCTCTTTAAAATGAGGTAAGAACATGTTGGGAAAATGATTAATTTCTGAGTTATGATTTTTCAAAGTTGATGTGACAGGATTCGTATAAGGGCCTCGGGCCAGAAACCCACAGCTGCGCTCAGGAGCACCCTGTTTCACGCTTATCTTCGTAATTTTTTAACATTGCGCAGCATTTTGACCATTCAGTAAGCATATATGAGGACTTATACGTAACAATAGTGGATGTCGAGTTTTCATATTGTGAGAAAATCGCATTTGAAGTTTTTGAAGCTTTGCACTTTGCCGCCCGTAGAATTGAGAAGATTCTTGTAAATATTTTCATGAAGAGCAACTCTTCCTGTAAAAAACACACGTTTTACGATCTACGTAAGTGAAAAATTGAGAGAGTAGCAACGATTTGAAAAAAAAGTGACATCCGCTATTTTTACTGCGAACACTTTTTTATGCATGAAACAATGTCTTCAGTATGGGTAAGGCTGGTGAAACGACTGAAATGAACCAAAAGTACGTCAATGCTGAGTCATTTAATCGAATTGAACAAATAACTAAACCGTCTGTAACTTCTACATCAAAAATAAGGAACAAATTATAAAATCAGTTAAAAACTCATCAATTCAGGCAAAACGGTCCTGATACGTATAATTTCAGTGTCAGTTGCAGTCCGTGGCCAGTGCGCGGGCAGTTATCGCAAGTGCGTTCGAATCTCCACGGTGTCCTGCCGGGCAAATAGTGGATTCTCATATCCGCTGTTTTTACAAATAACATGGTATTCAGTTCATATCTCGCCGAAAAATTACGCTGGAAGTCTGAAACTTTGCACAGGCTTTCTTAAGGGCTCCAGAACTCTCAAAGGGCGTTTGCCCTAAAAATGGCGGATGTCAGCGACCCCTATTGTTACATGTATGTAACAATGGCGGTCGGTGTGACTCTTTTAATTTTTCAATTACATAGATTGTAAAACGTGTGTATTTTACCAGAGGAGTTGCTCTTCATGAAAATCTTTATAAGAATCCTCTCGGTTCTACGGGCGGAAAAGTGCAAAGCTTCAACAACTTCAAACGCGATTTTCTCACAATGTGAAAACTCGACATCCGCTACTGTTTTGCAAGCACATTTGCAGCACATTTTGCAAAATTCTGCAAATTTTGCCGCACATTTAAGTGAAGAAATTTTGTTCAGCTTGAGCTACAATAGTGAGCTTGCAATTGAATTCTTGCTGCAAACTGGGATTGCAATCTTGCTAACAACTTGCCCCAGTTGTACAAAATTGTGGAAACATGAGTTTGTAGAAGGCTTACTGAAAGATTGAATGTATTCTTGCATCCAGCCAAGATCAATCTTGCTACAAGCTTGTGTGCTATTCGGAGTGTAAGGTGTGAATAGAAGGAATATAATTAATTTCGACATGAAGAGGAGGGGGCTATGGAAAAACACCCACATTTGGCACTTGTGGGCCGTGTTATTTCCATTTCAATTTGCATAGTTAAACCTGAAAAAATCATCCAACTTACCCTCTGATCTGATAGGCATATGATTACAACACATTAAAGCATTCACAGCGTCGGGAATATTTGCAAATTCCATGTGACCTGAAGAACTTCGGTCACCTTTTGGAGAAATCATTACTGCTTTAACAGGTGGATTGACGTCTTTTTCTTGGATTAGTTGAGCTATTCTCTCGCTGTCCATTGTTACTGGAGTATTAAAAAAGTGCAATATCTGGAACGTAAAAAAAGATGATTCACATAGTGTTGTAACGCACCAAAAACTGGAAGAGAAACTTTCCGATATTTCCTCGAGAAAAGTTATATAACAACTAAAACTGTTGAATTTTTTCTGTCAGAATCTAATGCTGCTACAATGTCATGAAAGTTCTACAGCCAATTTGTTGTGTAACTATTTTTCTAATAATTGAATGAATATAAAATAGTCTGTTTCGGCAATTCAACTCTCTTTTAAGCTTTTTTTGCTCATTATTACACCTCACAAGTCTGAGATACTGAGTATTCAACAGAGGTATGTAAGATATTAAAGCTGAAGGCTTAAGAACCAATGATTTAAGAACAACCGTGCTATCTGGTGCAGTTAAAATTGGTTTTAAGACTGGACTAGCTGCTCCGAGCGCCCTACGAGCGCCCTCCACAGCTAGCAATGGTAGTGCAGTAGCTTATTTGGAATCGGAGCAATTAATTGAATCTATTTAATAATGATGATGATTCTGTGGCAGAAGGTGAATGAATTTAACTGCCTCGCTGCATTACAGGGAGGAGACTGCCATTCTACCAAAACATGTAATAAGAAGCCCGCATTATCATTTTTTTTTTTTTTAAATTTTTTAATAATTTTCTAATGACTATGACAATTTACTTTAAATGAAATGAAGTGTATTAGTCGCGTTGGTGAAGCGGATTATCAAGTTTTTTTGTGTTATTTTCGTAATTTTTTAGTTTTGTTTTTTAATCATGTTTTAATGACTATTAAAATTTAATTTAAATGAAATGAAGTGTATGAAAAGAAGAGGAGGAATTGAAAACTTGCGAACAATAAAGTAAAAACATGAATTCTTTTAGGCCTTTGGGAGTTATAAAAGATCAAAGCACCTCTTTGAACACGGTATTTTTTGTACGGTTGCCTTTGGGAAGAATTTGTACTTAACATTTTTGTATGATGTAGCTCGTGGGAGTGCAACATATAGTTGACCATGGCTATAAAATGGTTGGGGTTAATAAATGCCGACTCGCTTCAGTGTTTGATCCTGAGCTTTGTTGATGGTCATGCAGGACGCAATGCGAATTGGAAATTGTCGCCTCTTATAAAGTTTCCGGACGATCAATCGGTACCATTCAATAAACCTTCAGAAACGTTGAGGTTTCTTAAAAGCATGAAAATAACCTCCTCCTTAAGTGTGAGTTTATGCAGTGGTAAGCCACTAAGATCAAGACTGTCCGAGAATTAGAGGGAACAATTGAGAGCCTCCCTCTATTCCTCTGCAATGAGCCTGGAAGAAGTTCAACAACCTTGTCTTCAATTCAATTGCAATGCTCATTTTTAGGGGCCAGAATTGCGCAGTTTGTTAAATCTACGTTCGCAAACACGAGGAAGCTATATATTTTCCATAAATTTCAGTAATAATGCTTGTCAGTAAATCAATTAATTCCGGCATGTCCTTGTTAGCAGAGGGGTAAACACCATCACCTATTTCGAGTAAAAATTTTGCAAACTCCGCCTCGTCTTGCAATTTTGCAAAACAAAATTAGAAAGAGAAAAGAACAAATAAGAATGAAATGTCTATAACAAAACGTGTTGTTAGCAATACGTGTGCGCACCTACACTGCTGCAGTTAATAAGTCAGGGTCAGTCAAGCCGCCAGGATGCCTATCTAGAGGTGGTGAAGCGGAGCAGCCGAGAGATTGCAAGGGAATGTGGGTGGCGAGTGACGAACGACGATGCGACCCAAATTGGTGGGAGGAGAGCTATACGAAAGAACACTGAGATAGCCGAAAGAACGTGGCGGAAGGGGTGGCTGAGACCGTAGAGGGGGGGTACCTAGGGACGGGCAAGCAGGTAGCGGCGGGACGACCTCTCAAAACAGCTGAACTTTACTCGTCGATAAAAGTAAGAAAATTTGAGAAAATCGAAAAAACAATTACGGCCTGCAAATTTACAGATCAGAAGCTTTCATTTAAAAAAAACCCCATGCAAATCGGTCCGGTGGTTCTCTCTAAGTTAATGTCCCAAAATGCGGACTTTATTCTGAATAAATGGGAGAAAATTTGAGCCCAGCTAAACTTCACTCGTCGATAAAAGTAAGACAATTTGAGAAAATCGAAAAAACTATCACAGTCTGCAAATCTACAGTTCACAGACTTTCATTTAAAACAAAAATCATGCAAATCGGTCCAGTGGTTCTCTCAAAGTTAACGTCTAAAGATTCGGACCTCCGTTTTAATGCATCGAAGAAAATTTGAAAAAATCGGAAAACAAATTACAGCCTGCAAATCTACAGCTCAGGGGCTTTCATTTAAAAAAAAAGATCAGGCAAATCGGTCCGGTGGTTCTCTCAAAGTTAATGCCCAAAGATTCGGAACTTTGCGTTTTAATATATAGGATACCGATGGTTACGATTGAAAAAGGGCATCTCTCTTGTAACGCTTAAAAAACTCCCATTAAGTTTCATTTTTTTTTTGTTTTATTCTTTTTCCCCCTACAGAAAAGTAACTTAAATATCTCTTTAAAATTTTTTGTGAATATTTTTGAAGGAGTGAATTACTCTTTTCGATTGAAAAATAAAACATTAGCGGAGACTCACACCATTGCAAGTGGCTATTTGTATTTTCTATTTTACAACCATAGTAACAGATACAGAAGGTAATTCATTGTCCCTGATGGGCGGTTTTAAGATATGCACGGTTAATAGTTTATGAGATTCCCTTTTTTGAGGGTACTTGTTTGGAAATTATTATGGTTTAATTTTAGTACTTTGGTTTGAAAGGGTTACAACTTGAAGCTTAACACCTACCAAAGTACAACAGAGCTGTTATCATAAGAAGGGAAAGGATAATCTCGAGGAGTCAAAAAGAAGTGAGGACGAATCGTGAAAAAGTAAGAAAAATGCTCTCCATAAACGGTAGGAGATTCAAATTTCATTTTACTCTGGCTGTTTAAACCAAATGATGACCAAATGAGTTGATCTTGGTCTCAATTGATAGCTTTAAAGTCGATACTTAAAATTAAAACTAAAATCAAGTCTGTGGGTATCTAGTTAATTTTTTTTACCTACACGACCAGTCAGAGTACTTTTTGTACGGCCTACGTATGATCTGCTTTTATCAAGACTCTGACTAGTCTCAAAGACATTAAAAAGTGAAACGGTTGAACAGCAATATTTATTCATTCAGTGGCTGCAATTCAAGTGATTGCAGGCATTGGACTTCGTTCCGAATGTCCCCATCCATACTTCAATAAGATGAGCTGCTTATCCCAATGTGACGAAATCGCAGCGTGGCTGATGAAAAATAAATATCTTCAGAATTTCTCTTGCTATTCATACTCATAAAGTTTTCAGCCAAGTTTCAGGTCGATAAAAGCGAATCAAACCCCCGCTACCCCTGTGGTTTCATGTAAATTGCATACTATTTTTTGGATAAAGAATATGCCCTTGCTAAACATGATAAGTCGCTATTTTAAAAAAAAACTAAGGTCAAGACTTCAAAAAGTAACAGTTTGTAATGTTCTACCTGAGGCATCCGAATTTACCATCTTTAGCATAAAGCATTGGACTGACAGTTCCGACTTGCTCAGCCGGCCTCTCGTGGAAAGGGTTGGAATTTCCAATTCTCTTTCGAGGCGGTCTGAGTTCGGTTATCAAACCCGGTCACATTTACGCTTTGCCTCTCGGTATCCTAGTACTTATTTGAAAATCAACCTATCTGGGGGTGGTGCTGTGTTCTTAATGATGTGAGCAAGTAGTGGAGGCCAGCTGGTCGAGTCAAGCCCTTAAAGTTTAGTGTTTGTTCCATTTGTTCTTCTTCTGTGAGTTGAGCCTTGTTGACCTACCGAACCCCGATGGCTCACTACATGCATTTTTATTTTCTTCAAGACAAGTGCGGCCCAAGGGCCGAAACTCTTTCAGTTACACAAAGGATGCCTTAGTGTTAGTCACTACCGTATTTCAGGTGGATATGCGTAGCCCCCCTCCCTCACCTCCTCATTTCATTCACAGCCACCTGATGAACAGATCTTGAATCAGCGGCGCTTGAACATTGGTAAACCGGTTATTGCTTAGCTTGGCTTGAACCATCTATAGAGAAACGAAGTGATCATCACCCTTGAATGGGCTTGTTGCAAACTTTTACTGGAGCAAAAATATGAGTTGTATCTCATGGAAAATACCTCAAAAATAACGATGAGCACATCAGCAAAGTCTGAAATGTACTCCTTAACTTTACAATTTGCGAAAGACGTTTTTTTCAGCTTCCCACTATAGATACGATACTACAGCACAGGTGAACATTTTATAAGAGGAGTCGTTCCATCTAACTCTTGCACCCTGAGATGCTACACAATCTTCAACATGGCCGACGTTTCCGCGCGCTAATCGTGAAAAGGCACGGTGGCTTTTATCAACGCAAGGAACATGTGAATATAATAGGTTGGCTGCCTTCTTGGGTCCTAAGAGCTACATGACCTGATCAAATGTAACCTCTAAATTTTCGAGCTGTTCATGCTCTCCCTATAAAGGTACTCTAGATGGAACAACTCCTCTTATGAAATGTTCGTCTGTGCGTCGTATCGTTTTTGAAGCAGGAAGCCAAAGAAAAAAAAAAAAAAAAACGCAATTTTTGTACTCATGTTGTGCAGTTAGGAGTGCATCTTAGACTTTCCCAATGCGCTCATCGTGATTTTTGAGACATTTTGCGCACGAAAAGACTCTTATATTTGCTCTAGCAAAAGATTGCAATAGGCCCATTATGACTTACTTATACAATGTTGACCGTTTGAGACGAAAATAGATACAAAATTATACAGCTTAACATACTTTTGACGGAGGAGTAATTCTATTCTTGGCAGCCATCGCGGGGTTCAGAAATCTATTATTGCTAGAATTCAAGTACTTCTTGAACGAAGGAGTACCATCAGGAAGATTGAATGGATACTGAACGTCACTCAGATAAATTTGTTTTGAGTGTCTGTGAACAGAAGAATGATAAAACGACATGTATTTAATTCATATGTGTAAAAAGAAATCTTCTGTGAACAAATTTGTTTCCTTTCTTCAACAACTCAAACTTTCAGTGACAAAACAAAGCTAGGTGATGGGGTAAACACCGAACACTAACTCAGTTCCCATGAGCTGAAACTTCATTTTGATTTTTGAGATGAGGGAAAAAAGATTTTATGGCCTTTGCCTGCAATGTAACTAGGACTTGCAAATATAACACAGATACAGACACAACGTTGTACATCCCTTGATAATGCTCGTGCCCACTGTTATATCCCCTAATTTCCGCCGACTTGGCAACGTGGCCTGCTAGGTAGCTAAGGACACAAGATGTCGTCAATCCTGTAGAAGTTTGCAGTTCCATTCATCTCAATGTCTTGTCAGTCTTGTCGAAAGCTTTTCAGTAATAAATACATGTCTCTTCCTATCTTCAGTCTGTCTTCGTTAGTTTCTGAAACCTCCCAGTCTCCCGATACAACACTCACCATAATGCAAAAAGACTCGTTCAAGGAAAATTGCTCCTTTCTGAACTACGCTGTTTTAAGCAGTAGTAAAAATTAAGGTGGTTCTTCATTAGTTAAAAGAGCAATTCAATATTCGATTGTTCAAGAGGTATTTTCTGGATTTTTTTTACTTTCCGTAAAAATCTCTAAGCATTACTTGAAGCTATAGTCCGTTAAGTATTTGAACTTAAATTTTGACCAAGGAACATTTTGAAATGGGTCCATGAAACTTGAGGGGAAGAACATGATGGAATCTCAAAATACCAACCATGGCTTACATAACTGTGTTTACAGACTACAGGGTCTCAATTATTTTTGAGGCATACTTCTCTCATGATATACTTTTTGAAGACTTTTGATCCACTTTACAAGTAGGTTGAAGCCCCTACCAGAAAATATGTTATGCCAAGAGTATGTTCCGTTTATCCTCTTAATTGTGGGGATAAACGAAAAGTTTTCATTAAAAAGATGTAGACGTCCAAAAAAAGTTCATGTTTCGGAGTCTACAACTAGAAATTTGAAGTTTCGAAGTTGGAAAAATGATGGGTTTGAGTATTTTATTGCAGAAAAAACAACGGTATTATACACATACCCGAGTTGCATTTCTCTACCATGCAAATTTACATTATGTAAATTCCTGATACACCGTTCAACAGCTACAGCATCACTCATTTGGATCATTGCGCAACCTTCTTTTGATTTTAAAAATTTAATCTGGAAGAAAGAAGAGGCAATTGTTGATTGTTGGAGACCTGTAATAATGTTTGTAAAATTGTTTAGGATCGAAAATCTTATTTCTTCTTTGTCAATTAATGAAAAGCATTTCCTATATCAACTTTTATTGCACTCACATGTTCACTTTCTTGGGGAACTTAAAATAACTCCGGCATTTTTTTTTTCAGTTGAATTTTAGTCTTGAAAGTTAGATTTAAGGTCATAAACTATTTATGATCAAATACACATTAAAATTTTCAAATTACACATAATTTTTTTACATGTGGTGGATTAAATAAAATCAAGACTGGAGCGGTCACGTCAAAAACACTTTAGATGAGCTTCTTTCCCATGCCTTAGTTACAACCGCTCCTAGAGGCACTTACTTTCAATGTTTCTTGCTTTAACATATCTTTACCTTCAATAGCAATTTCTACGCGATACCTTCGAAATTGAAGATGATGTATTATAAGATATCAATACATGAACTTCATGAATATGTTCACTTCAGGTATTTTAAAAGACATCAAAACATGAAATGTCCTAAAATTGAGGGAGTATTTAAAATTGAATTTCTGTTAGCCGCACAAGAAATACCGCGCTCATTTAAGCTCTCACACAAGTAGGGCGGAAATGCCGGTTTGGTAACACGACCCACACTGCAGTATTGCACCCGAAAAGCTGGCATAAAGTCTTGGAGACCAGCAAATTCTCGTTTTTTCTTCCGCTTCATTTTATTTCAACATAAATATGATTGGAAGTAGTGCAGAACCTCAAATGGATTTTTCAGGATGTCTCTCTCCCACCCATGACCACTCCTCCCCATTAAGGATAAACTCCTCTTTTCATTGAAACCAAAAGCGATATCTTTAAAGTGCTTGGTGAAAACTGATATGTTATTCATCGCGCACATTAATCTGTGTTGCGTAATTAACCTGATAGCTGCATTAAAACTTCACAGGAGGGGGGGGGGAGTGGTCAGGCATTGCCGAAATACACAAGAAGAAGTGGCTCCTTTGAAAAACGTATAACAGGCAAAAAGAGATAGTATAGAAGAAAATCACTTTTTTTAAAAAAAAATTTTTACTTCTGCAAATTTGTTAAGAAAAGCGATTGTAATAGCAGTTAGGTACTTCTTTGCCTATATTGATTAGGAAATAAAAAAGTAGGAAAAAGTAGATAGCAATATACAAGACAGGCCAGATTATGGTCAAGATTCTTGAAAAAAAAAAGTTCGGTCATATGAACCGAACGTTTGGTGTTACATATCATCTCGACTGTTCGGATTGTCAAACTGAATTTTCGATTCATGTAACTGAACATTCGGTTCATATGATCCAACTTCGTTCGTTACCATTGAAGTTCGGATACAAGGACCGAAAGTTCAGTGTGACAAACCGATAATTTGATCCGACAAACTGAATTAGTTGGGATGATATGGAACACCGAACTTTGTTACATAGGACCGAACTCTTTTTTCAGTGATACAAGGAGCTCCAGGAGTGTAATAAGACTTGCATATAACGCTGAGGCTCACACTATTGACCTGAAAAATATTCAGAATCTAAAATTCGGAAATACGTGATTCTTGCTTTAAAACGAAGCTTATTTTCAAAAATTCGCTGAAATCCAAAGGGTGCACACGGGTAAAAAAAAAAAAAAAAAAATGCGAGAAAATCTTGCGGATGAGTTCTATTTTACGAAAATATTTCATTTTTAGCCCGACACAGCCTGGCATCATTATTATAAACTTCGAAGGATTTCACTTTTTCTATTTCACTCGAGGGGTTGCCAAATTGTGCAATTAATGTGAATATTTTACATGGGTTTGAACTGGGAAGGGTCGTGAAAAAGGAACTCATCTGGCAACAGTAAAGTCTTAGAGGGACTAGAGGCTGCCTTCCTGGGAAAACCCATGATTTAGCGGGAAATGACATTAAAAAAAATTGGTTCCGTTCGAAGCTTCAAATGTATACTAGGGAAAACTATCTTAATATAAGAATTGTAAATAGACACAGATGCTACTAAAAAAGAAAAAAATGAATGGGAAAGAAAATGAATTGAGGACATAATTACTTATGCAATCAGGGAGAATAAAACAGAAACATCAGGGAAATTTATATGCGATGAAAGTATCAGAAAAAAACACGAGTGGGCTCATAGCGATTCGGAACTCGAACTGCACTATCGTTGAGCAGTTTTTAGACCCCTGCGCCATTGATAATCTTCTCAAGACTTAAACATGAAATTTTGCTACTTTAGCGAGTCAAATCGTGGAAGGAGATCCACGATTGTCACTTTCCTCCACCCGATGTCAAATGCGGTTTTGAAAAAATGATCGATCCCCCTCATTGCTTCATCTCCATATATTTATTAATAATCAAATGATGGGACGTTCTGGTAAACAGGTTCTGTGACAAAATCTTTTTTGTCTTAAGAGTCTCCAAAATGTATACATCCTTAACGCAAGCCTAAACAATGTGCCTTAGCATTGCGGGGTGTGGGAGGGGGAAGAACACTTAATGAGGGGAGAGAGGAATAGTAAATCTAATATATATATACGTTTTGCATATTTACACGCCACTACATGGTAGGGGTCGCCAGTTCGGGGCATCCCGAAATTATTGTTGTCGTCTATTCTTGTTGTCGTTGCTGTTACTATCACTGGTGAGTTACCACATAAAAAAAAATTCCATAAATAAATTAATATGTCAATAAAAATACTAATACTACTATTGCTACCCCTCTTCTGGTTAACACTGCTTTGAACTTATTTAATGAGCTCAACGATAATTATATGATACAAACTGCAATAATATGGGATCTATAACTATAAAAATAACAATATACACTTCGCACTCAAGTCAGCACTTTTCTGAGGATTGCCACTGTGCCCAATACCGCTGTTTTTTGGATGCTCAAATACATATGAAGGTCTCAATACCGTTCCGATTCCAAAGAATTACCTGACAATAATTTTAATAAAAATGGTGTGATTTCGATGGGTTTGTTTGTTCGTTTGTTTACTTCCCGTTATCCATGCACAGACATCAGTCGCGCCGGAGGGAATGCGCGGTCGATATGTGACCGTCACTCGAGGGATCTCCCAGGCAACATATTTGATTTTTCGGCGATGCGCGTTTAAAGAGGAGACAGCATTTTGGGCCATATCCGTCATCTTGGATTTTCGAATTTTTGAAATTCGACTAGAAATTCAAGTTTTCCGTCAAAAAAAACCCTCTGATACCAAGTTTCCCCAAGATCGACCGAACTGGAGCCGAGGTAGCATTTTAGGCCATGTTCGCTAACTTGGATTTTCGAATTTTTAAAATTTGACCAAAAATTCGAGATTCCCATCTATAAATGCTCCCCGCTACCAAGTTTCCTCAAAGCCCCCCGCGCGCGCGTCGATTAAGTAGATATATATCCTTTTGATTTACTTCGGAATCCGGGTTAGCACAATAAATCAAAGGGAAATACACATAGTACCTTTTGCTTTAATTGGTCATCCCGGATTCCCTGTTTTGCGATTTTCAGGTGCTGTTCCCAAGGAATGAAATTGGTTTTTTTGGAGGCATATTTATATGTCAGAGTAGCTTATGTCATGGAGAATCCAGATCCGTTAAAAACTGAAAATCGGAAATTTGGCAATTGTTTCCTTTTCGTATAAATACGTCCAATTGGTCCAACGACTCATGATGAGATCGCTAAGCTTCAGCTCATCGTGCGCGGCGCGGCGGAGGTGGGGTGGGGGGGAGGGGTTAGCTGATCCGCCGCGCGTCACCGTGAGCTTTTTGCGCCTACAAGCACGTAACGGCGCGCACGTATACCGACCTGTAGCGGCTAAACCATCGGCTAGAGACCGCAATGGACCACTAGATAAGGTAAGAATTAAAGCAATCTGATACATGTATCTAAACCAGAATTTCACGTCGAACACGATTCGCACAACGAAAATTACTGAAATCAACTCCTAACAAAGATATTGACGTTTTTATTTCACATTGGTTACGAGGAATTTGAACTGCCCGCTCACAAGAAACTCAAAGCTCTCCGTGAGTCAAATCGCGCACTACAACGGTTTCAGCAAGCTCCTCAATTGAGCAATGTTCATTACCCACCATGTGTTGTTTAAACTATTAGCTCTTTGCTATAGCTGAGCCAAAGCGTCAAGATTGAGGTTGCCAAATTTTTATATCGAAGAGACTGTCATGATAACGTTTAGCGCGCGATGTGAATCACGTAGAGCATTGAGTTTTCATGAGCGGATGGTTTGAATTCACGGATTAAGAATCATTCAATATCTTCGTAAGGAGTTGATTTCCGTAATTTTTGTTGTGCGCATTGTGTTTTAAGTGACATTTTGGTTAAGAAACATGTATCAGAAAGCTGAAATTCGTACCTTGTCTAGTGGTCCATTCGAGGATGTCTCCTGAGAAATGACTGTATGCTTGCTCATTTACCTATTTTTACACTTGGAGCGCTTGAAAGACCCCTAAAAAATTTTATAATTTTTTTTTTCAAAACGATTTCTTCTTTTTTTTTCTTGGGTTGTATCACGTTTTGAGAAAACTGCCCATGAAAATTTCTCAAATTCAAAAAATAAGGGACACCCTAATGCGCGTGCTGCTCGCTGGTGTATCCGCTCCATAAGGATCGTTTCCGTATCCAACCCCACAGTCTTTGACTTCATGCGACCAGAAACAACCGAGAAAAAAGCCTGGTGTAGGTGGTTTGGGACACGCTGTGTGTGGTTTGCTCCAAAATGTTGCTATTAAACAGGATCCTCATCTAAATGACCCTCAGGCCTTGAGTAAGATGAAAAGGGAAGAGATCAACTGCACCTTAGCATGCTTCTAGCCTGACACGCTTTTGACACACTTGAAGCTGAGGGTTCAAAGACAGCTCAAGTACAGAGCAATGCGAAAGCATTTCAACACAAACCACTACACTGAATTTCCTGGACTTGGATCAATATAGTAATTTCTTCTCATTTTTCAGAGACTCTTAAAACGTTGCTCACTTTGAATTTGAAAAAAAAAGAAAAAAAATATTACGAAATTGTGCCTGCTAAACAAAGTAACCAAAAATCCATGAAACAATTCAAGAGTTGTAAGTATCACCGAAAAATTTTGTGTTGTTGATCTAAAAATAGACTGCAATCCAAGTAAACAAGAGACTTGAAATACATTACTTACCTTCCCAACATTTCCATAGAGACAAAATAGATTAAACAATTTGTCACAGTTGACTTTCTTTTGATTTAATCCATAAACCATTACAACACCACTTTGCGTTGGTGCACCGTTTGGCGGGGAGAAAGGGCCTGCTGGAAGTGCAGCCGGTGACCTACTGGGAAGAATATCATCTCTTGAGGTAGGAGACCTGAGTCTATCGCCTCGTCCCAAAATTCCAAAACTTCTGAAAATTAAGATTAAAGTACCAAATCACTATCAAGGAAAAGAATAACACTATGAGTGGACCGTTAACACGCTGCATGAATACCCTCGTAGCATTGGCTGTAAAAAAAAGTTAAACATCTTATAAAGAGGGTTAATCAAAAACATCACCACCCCCTCCCCCTTTGATCCGTTCCGAAGTTTAATATTTTGATCCCTATCACAAAGCAAACCTCTCTCCGTCAATGGCAAGTTCGAAGAAAAATCATCCCGCGCGCTACAGCGTTGCCAAATTGAAACCACGAAGTCCCTGTGGCTGGCATTAAAATTGAGTGATGAAGTCACGGTTTGGACGTAAATTTTCAAAAATGCAAAATTTGTAGATATTTTCATATTTCGTAATTTATCATTAATTTAGACGAGAATTTTTGCCATTTTTTTATATTTTTAAAGGATGCCGCACATTCCTTATGGGAATGTGTGCCCTGATCGATTTTAAATTTTTTTATTGATTTAAACTCGTCTATGGATGCTGATCTAAAGTCATCATTGCGCCACCTTCCTATGAAGTACCGTTTTCGTACAATCCGCACTTTAAGTTTCAATGATTACTTGAATAAATGAAGGGAGCGCGGCGACTATGAGTCGAAAAAATCTCTATCTTTCAGCATCGGCTGTAAACAAAGAAAACATAGGATAACCTTAGCGTGTTTAGGTACCACTGCAATGCCGAGCGGTAGTCTTATCTCGGATTCCGCAAGCCTTCAGTCCGAATCAGTTTCTTTCTTCTTTCTCCCATTCTCTTCCTTAACACTCACCCGCTGAAGATTTCCTCGCTAAAGTACGGCGCTGCCCTCATTTATTCAAGTAATTACTGAAACTTAAAAAGCGGACTGTGCACAAACAATGCTTTGTAGGAATTTGGCACAATGATGACCTTTGATCAGCAACCGTAAACGAGTTTAAAAAAAAAAAAGTTGAAAATCAAACGGGGCACACATTTTCATTAGGAGTGTGCAGGGTCCTTTGTCAATTTTTACAAATTCGTAAGTACCTCAAAAAGGCCCTGCTTTGATTCGGATAAAACTCGGTTTGATCGATAGTTCGCTCGAACCGCGTCCATCGATGTGTTACATTTCACATGGAAATGATTTTCGTGCGAATTATGACCATTTTTGAAACAGCATTTTGCAAAGCCGCTTGATAGCCTTAAACGTCCTGGGGGGCTAGAAGTCTTGCCTAATTTAAGCCAACAGTGCAGAGCGTTGATCTAGGGTGGTTCAACTTAACATGCAATTTTTTTTTCGCCTAGCAAACCACGACGCCCCCTAAATTTGTTTCTTTCTAATATGATACCTGCCAAATGCTTTCTCTCTCCAGCATTGTTAAGTTGTGCCGCCATGAGGCTGAAAATCTCCAAAAAAATTGCATTGATTTTAAATGGGGTGAAAACAGGCCGATCCGCGGGAATTCGTTTTTTGGTTATGAAATGCACCGAGTGAAAAAAACTTGATCGATACTGAAGGATGTACCTAGAGGCCGATTGTGAATGAGAAAATCACACATTCGACCCAGGAGGGAGGGGGGGGGGTGGATGGGGGTCACGGCGGAGCCGATTCATTGGCGCCGCCGGTGCGCCGCGCACGGCATCAATCACTAGGGTGATTCACTCAGGGCAGCTTCGGAAAATGGACCACGACACTCCCTAAACTTGTTCCATTCGATGCAAAAACGACGCATGCCTCGGTATTTTTACTTTCTGATAATATTGAAACCTGCCACCGTCTGACTGTTTTACGGGAAAATTGTAGCAAATAGCAAAAATAGTAAAAATACGAATATTATAAAACTTCGGAACGTTGACAAAAATGTAGCGTTGTTCCTCACTTGTGTTCGATCGGGCCTCTAAAATACCAATTTCAAGTTTCAGCACTTGCAAACAATTTTCAGACACATAGCATTCAGACAGATTTGATTTTCGTGAGAGAAACCCAAAAATGTCCGAAAATAGCGAAAACACCAGCAAAGGTATAATGGGTAAAACATGTTCTAACTTGAAAATGTCTGATGCCTGCTGATAAGTAGCAGTGTATTTAATAAAAAAATCAAATATTAACTTCCTGAGATACAAGGTGAGCTCTTTTGCGTAGTCATTTGAACTTCTCGCAAATTCAAGAATAAAACGCGTAGAACCTGTTTCTTTGAAAGGAGTTTACTTCCTTCAATTACAGAGGAGTAATTGCCGAGTAGATATACGTTTCGATCTTTCCAAAAAGATGGCTTCGAAAGCGCCATAGTTTCACGAACATATCACCAAAAGAGGACATCATTGACGGTCGCTGGCACACTGACTGCCAAGTTCACTCCTATCCCAGAAAACATGGGATTTTCTGCAAAGCTCTGCAGTTTTACAGCATATACATTTGTTGCAATGCACGTACCAGCGGGACAATTAATATATTTGACAGAACCTTGAAATAACTTTATTTCATTAAAGGAGGTACGCCAATGCGTAACAGAAAGCAGAGAGCTCGAATATGCAAGTGCGTACATCTCTTATCAGTTTGGCGCGTGGAGCCTTGGGCGGCACCCGTGAATTAGCTCCGCTGTAATCCCCCCCCCCCCCCCGGCCG